ATAAAAGAATCACCTCAACGAGGTGTATTCACACCACCAGCCTTCGAATCGACCCAGTTTCTACCGGTTTGACAGGTGACACGGCGCGTTGCTTCGTCAAGGGAGCTGGAGTAATTGAGGTTGAGGCTTTGTGTTGTACCTCTAGGTCCCTCAACGGTCTATTCTTTTCAGAATTTGCGGTTGTGACTGAAGTTGACACTACGCGTTTCTTCGTTGCTGGAACTTGGGTGATTGGAGTTGGAGCTCTGAGCTTCACCTCCTATACTGTATAGGTTCAGTACCTACAGACTTTGTGAGAGCCATGCGGATTTGTTCAGCCTTCCTCCTCTTGATTTTAATTGCCAGAGGGGCTAAACGCTCTACCTTACCATAGACAACGTCCAGTATGACGACAAAGGTCTGGTTAGGGGTATTCTGGATCGCTGGGTTACACAACTCGGTAGCCGTCACCTCAGTCGGATTTTCGTCGACAGCAACTGAAGTACGTTGCATAGCTTCCTCAAATGAGCCGACATCAATAGCGGCTTCCAATTTCCTCCTCAGTAACTCCGCATTGACGTCAAGCGATGTGAGAAAAAGCCATAACTGCTGCTTACCTAGCCCGATATTGCTGGCTGTCTCTTCTTTGACCCCAGACGCGTAGATCGTCGGCTACGGCATAGAAGACAACTGAGCCACATGACACCGCTAAACTAAAGCATTGCTTACGGAGAAAGGTTCAAATGGGTACAGGTCGCATGGTATTAGTAACTGCATCCATAGCACGGCAGGCCTCCAGACTCGTCCGGTACTGGCTTTACGCAGCTCACCCCGCCGCGTACAGCATTAGATTGGCTGAGCAAAGCTGTCGAAGACACGTTGGCGCCCGGATGCAATGTATTCGCGCTGACGCTTTCAGTGAGTGTGAAACAAGTATCAAAACGTAAAACAGTCAGGCTGTTACCTGCAAGTAAGTCGACAGCGGTAAGCTGGGGTTAAAACAAGGTTCAAAGGGATTACAAAACACAAAAGTACCAGAAAATATCCAGAGGCTGAGCCCGAAAACAAAGGACGAAGCTTGGTAACTACCGGAGTACGGGTACGAGGGAATCCGTGGAATGCGATGATCCAAATTTATTTGGATAAGCGAACTTTGAAAAAAGTTAAACTTACTCAAAACGCTTGTAAACACTGTTAGGAAACGGTAATTTGAAAGTGAAAACTGAAAAAGACAGCACCCACAAAAATTTCAATTTGCCGCCATGGAGAAAGAAACCGTTTAGAAACTTGTAGCAATGCAAAGTGGTAGACTGATGCTTAACATTTCTTGTGTACCACCTGCAGTTCACTATTCACCTGGTTTAAAATATTTACCTGGATCCCCTGTTCCACAACCGAAGACAAACAATTCTGGCGTGATTACCTTCATTGCCTCAAACATTCCGATTCTCCAGTCACCTGTAGCTTTTCTGACGTCATTTCACAGACAGCGTCGCGCTCGTATAAGCGGCTTTTCCGATGGCCTTCCATGGAGTTTTCACTTGGCCATGGTGACAATCATACTTACATTTGAAGGAATTACGAATCCACTTTGCAGAGAATGGCATGTTCGCCAGTTATGGGCATATTCAGCCACAAGAAACAACTGCACTCACCGTCCGCATGCCATGTCCAGCATGGATAGCTGGACACGGTATTCGAGCCGGACAAGAATATAATCGAAAAGCCCGTCTCTATTAACAATGTGTTCACCCACCTGCATCATTTATCATTCGACTCTGCGAAGCTTCTGCATCATTGACCTGCTTCAACGACTACTACCGGATCATTAATTAGCCATTCGGCCAACCAAGGAAGAATATTGGCTGTCAACCGACTGCGAATACTAGAGTGCAAAAGCGGTCTATGCGATGTATAGCCGACTAGCACTACTGTTCAACGTAAGCTACGGCAGTGTTCCAGGACGTGGTGGGTTTTGGCCTGGCAAGCATTCTCCTTATAAAAAGCCACAAATGTCCGCTTAACAACATTGCAACCTGGCGGATGTGGCACGCCATAAAATAAAGTCACAGCTAACCATTTCACACTGACGCCGTCTTCAACCATTTACATCCAACCTGCGCAACTGATTTCACTATGAATAATGCTTTGATGGAGCACAGATCATCCCGACTTTGTAATGGTCATTGATTGCACCAAAACCATGGTTGAGCTCCTGTGCTCATGGATCCCTACATGGCGAGATTACCCCCAACTTGTAACTTGAGGCAACAGTTATGACTGGTTTTTGCGCGCCACAGCGCCATCATGTTCCTTGGTCTTACTAGTACCTGACAATATGCTCACTCTTATGGACTACATCTTTACGTTTATTCCTTTAATTAAAACGTAATGTTTTAACATTCCAAAGAAGCTATGCTTGTATGCCTATTTGAGCACACCTTTGCATGTGTGTCTCGTTTTACCGAGAATATACTATATATTTATTTATAGGTAGAACTAGCGGCAATCACGCAGACTTTAACACAATGCGTGACAAAGTTTCAGTTCTGCGTTGCTACATCACCGTGGCTGAAAACTTGGAGACATCCTGGGAGAATTTAGGGCATACCTCACCGAGATCTCTGCTCCCTACGTCTTACGCATTAAGAGGCAGGTGACAGGCGCAGCCTCCTTGGATAGATCATCCAGGTAAATAACTGCTCAGGATGCGCTCTAAGTGTTGGCGAACTTACCAAGCGGCTTCATCAACCAGCACGTACGAAAGCTATCGAGCGGTTAGAAATAAATTTAAGCAACATCTTAGAACCCTTTGTCTTCAGTAGGAAGAGAATTTGGCTAACGAAACCGTAACAAATACAAAGATCATTGCTTACGTAAAGAGACGTAACGGTACAAACTCGTCTAGACCGGCTTTACAACGCGCGGACGGGACCCGTATACTTAGCGAACAGCATACTGGTCTTTTCTCTTGAGGCCACTCCATCTCAAGTTGTGCTGGTCACCTAAGTTCCATAGAATTCTTGCCTAACTGAAGTCAGCATAACGGAGACACAAGTCTTCGGGCAATTGGGAGGGCAAAATCTTTCTAAGACGTCTGGCCCTGATTCAATTCATCCGAAGCTGCTGCATGAATTGGCCACTAAACTAAATGGCCCACTGCCATGCATGTCTATAATATCACGCTAAGACTGTGCCTTACCTTCGGAATGGAAGAGGGCACTCATCTTTCCGATTTTTAAGGGCGGTGACAGAGCTTTGCCAACGCGAAATACCGGCCTGTCAGCATGACAAGAGTAGAAGTTAAGTTGTTCGAACAATTGGTCAGGGATTTGGTGGAGAATCACCTGATTACTCTTAACCTCCTCATTGCGGCACAACACGGATTCCTTAAAGGATTTTCGTGTCTGACAAATTTACTTGTAGCTCTCGAAAGCTGGGCTAGGTAGTAGACAACGGGCACGCTATGGACGTGCTTTTCGTTGACTTCTCGAACGCCTTTGTTACTGACCCAAAGCAACGACTCTGTTTGAAGTTGAGATCTAATGGGATATTTGGAATTGCCCTTAAATGCGTCTCTGCTTTCCTAGAGGGGAGAGAACAGTTTGTACGCGTGGGGCATAGTCTTTCGCTTAGACAAGCTGTTCTTAGTGGCGTTCCGCAGGGCTCGGTATTAATGCCGTTGCTTTGCGCATTTTATGTCAACGATCCACCCCAGGAGCTTGAACCAGCGTCGCTATTGTCTGTTGATGACCTCCAGCTCTGGAATATTGTGGATGTCCCTGCTGGTTCTGAGGCACTTCCGAGTGACGGGGATAAGCTCTGGAATTGGACAAACTTATGTTTGATGCCTATAAATCAGGCGAAATGTGCTGTCCCTCGTTTTGGAGGTGCTAGTCCTTCCAAGCGTTGTGTAGTTGGTGGAAGTGAACTCCCGGTTGTCACTCAGATGGTTGATCTAGGTATCACCCATACCTCCTTGCTTCACTCTGGGGACAAATGGAGGAAGGCTGTTTGTAGAGAGTGCCGTATGATGTGGTTTATTCGCCGCTCCTTCGGCGTCCTAACGGCCAATATCTTTGTGAAGCTGTTCACAGCTTTGTGCGACCCCACTTAGAATACTGTACCCAGGCTTGTCCATCCTGTCTTGTACTTGAGAAAATGGAACTGGAGAGGGTATGCGAGTTGGTAGAAGGGTTGAACAAGGATTAGGGGGTAAACATATCCTGAACGTTTGCTTAGTTTGGGTATGTACTCAATGCGCTATCGCGGAATTAGAGGAGACTGGCTCCTCACTTACCGTATCCTAACGGGTAAGATCAGTCCAGACTTCTCCTGGCTATTTAGTCCCGCCAAACTGCCTAGTCTCCGAAGTCACCCGTTGAAGCTACACAAACTACGTTCAGACCGCGTAAGGACGGAAGCTCGCTTGTCGCGTCGTTATTGAACGCCGGAACTGGCTTCTGGAGCGCGTCATTAGGGAGCCTAAGATAGAGGGATTCGAGCCTCAGTTAGATGCACTTGTGTGGCAGTACCAAACCTTTCCTTTCTCCTAACCGACTTGTATCTTTAAGTTTCCCTTGTTTACTAAATTTGCGACTCTTTGTTATTAGAAGTATGGAGCTGACCTTCCTTCACTTGTTTTCCCAGCTTACCCTTCAGTATTTACTTCACATAAACCTGCCTGACAGGGACTGCCTGGCAGGAAAATGTGCGCAGTAATTGGGTTGACGGGGTGTGATACTGTCTTCGTTTTATGCTTTTCATCCTCTCAAGCAGACCTCAATTCCCAATGCGACGTTATGCAAAGGTAGATACATTCACAGGATTATCCTATCGTTCCTGTCCAAGCGGAACTTGAACTTTAACTCAGAATTATTCTTAAATCGGGCGCTTGAACGTCCATGTCTCCCAAAGGTGGCTATTTACAAGAGAGCTTCAAAATGTTAGAGCTGTTTAATTCAAACTATTTAGCGCTAATGTGGTGCTTACAATTACATGATTGAAATTGTGCGTTGTTTATATTGTCGACTGGCAGCGTCGAAGTTTCGGCGCAATCGCGCTCGTCTCCCTTCTAGGTTTGTTTCATCCGTGTTTTCTTGCGTTTTTTCTTTTTATGTGCCTTGATACTTGTAATATTAATGTTCCTAGGGTTGCTGTGACTAGGGCGCACCTTAGTCGTATTCGACCAAGGGTTTGGTATGCAACGGATGTGCTTTGCAGTGTGGCGGACAGTTAGATCACAACCACCCAGTAAGTCGGTGCTGAGATAGAGTGTGCCTGTGTTATACCTCGTGTCGAGCTGGGTGGCGTTGTCCCAGCTGTTGTTGGAGGACCGAGCGTGAGGTGACTGGATGAATGGCGTGAAACGGCGAAGGCTGCTGTAACAATACCGAAGACGAAATGAGAAGGTAGAGTAAAGCGCAATCACAATCTAAACTGCGCTCGACGACATCTTATCTGCTGACCTGCTGCAGGGACACTGACGCGCTACCGTTCACTTCCTCGCTTTTATAATGTTTTTTTACGCCTTGTCACATTTCAGCGTCCTTTTTCGACCTATCGTCCTTATGCTGCTCCCCTAATGACACCAGTGTCCGACGAGCAGACGATGGGTGGATGTATAAGCGCCCGCTTGGCAGAAGATTGTCGCATTGGACGCTGACCGAACGCTCAGCTTTTTACTGAAACATGTTAACCTCGCCAAGGGAGCAGTGTAGGTGAAACAGGGGGGGGGGCGTGGGGGTACAGACGGTCAACAGACAAGCTAGTGATCATCCTTCTATAGCAACTCCGTATGCGAAAAGGATCGAAACCCTTTTCTTTTCGAAAGAATTAAAGGTCATACTTTTTATGTGACTGCTGAACGTGTGTAATAATCAGACAGTGCAAATTCATTATCAGCAGCAATAATAGGCGTGGTAAAGTATACCTGAACGCGATGGCTGGATGCGGGCATTGGAAGTCATCTGATGCTGCCCATTCTGATATAATAGGGCTGACATCCTCGACTGTTGGCAGCTCTACAGTGGAGGGTACATAGCGCGATCACTTAAATGGAGGCAAAGGTGCCCATTTTGGTAAAAGAAAGTGATAAAAGTAGCTCGACCTGTTCAAAAGGTAACAAAAGAGACACTCGAAAAATAAGAAGCTCCGTCTAAGCTGCGAAACCAGGACTCATCCTGTGGCTAGGACCCGTTACTGATCCAGAGAGTCGGGCAACTGAGGTACTCAATCCTCTTGAAAACGTCTCAAAGAACGTGCTCTATCCTCAGGCGTAAGACCCGAGGGAAAGACTAAAGATTCGCTGGAGAGGAAGGATCAACGAGGGTGGCTGAGATTGTAATACACACAGTTGAAGCATAAGGACTAGTGGGAAAAACTGACAGTAAGTTGTAAACTTGCCGATGTAGTTGCAGTTACTGAAACTTGGCTCTCCTAGAGTGATTCCATATGTAACACTGTATAGCTTCTCTGAATATAGAGTGGACAGTCCTGACCATCAGACAGATGGGGGTGTGCTTTCGTTTAGCCAGATCCACTACTCGAATTGCGAAGCCCCCTCCTTCATGTCAACACCTAGTATCTAAGTTGTTTCGTGCTGAGGTTGGGGTGACGGTTGGAAATAATTATTTGTTTGTATCGTAACCCGTTCTCTACGCGAGTGGACCATAAGGAGGTTTGTAGGCTGCTCAAACAAGCAGTGGTAACTGCGCCGAATTTTGTACTCATCAGTGACTTAAATCTTCCACATATAGATTGGGTCCATACAACGAGCACGATAAATACTCTGGAGCGAGATGTGGTAGAATGCGTGCATGTTAACCGTTATGTCCAGCGTATTAACTTCCCGGCGAGGAAGCGGGTTGGCTGTGCTCCTTCAACATTGGACGTTGTGATAACCAGATGTGGTCACTTGTCAGAGGTGCACGTCGAGGCTCATATCGGTAAGAGTGACCACTATGATTACTTTCTCGTTAACTTCAAAAAGGTCCCCAACAAAATGCCTACTTGTGAGGAACCTTGGCCGCATTGACTTCAATCAGCTACTAGACCGATTCCTGAAGATAGACAGGTTTTCTGAACCAGAACAGGCCACCTTAGAGCACTGTTGTAGCTTGATTAAAAATGCGCTTGTCCAGTGATTAGATGAGTTTGCTCGTTTGAGGCCGGAAAGACATGGTGCCAAGCCGCGTTGGTGGCACCGAGGAATAGATTGAGCGATTAAGCGACGAAACGATTCTTGGAAGAAGTTTCAGGTATCTCATCATCATCATCAACAGCAGTACATCAGCCATTTGAACTGATGCTTCGCTGCCATACAACCATGAGGACCTATGAAATAAAGAATAAGAGGGAGAGAAGGGGGACTTACCTGAAAACCTTAATGCCCTAACCAAACATTCAAGGTCAAGGCGCCTACACCTTGTGTAGACAACATACCGTCACAAACAGCTGGCTATCGTGCAAAGATAAGGCGGCATCGGCGAGACAGCTTCCTTTCGGCTTTCACTGCCACGCGTCATAATCAGTCATTAGCCCGCAGATAACTCAGCACCAAACACACTTTAAACAGACAATCCGATTAGGAGACGGCAGCAGACGCGCCACTGGTGTCTACTGCGAGCCATGTCCTGTAAAGTGTCGAGCTAAGCACAAGATGAGTCAGGTGGACTCCAGCCCGGAAGGCGAGACTGACCAACGGTACCCAGTTTGGTCGTCAGTGTCTTCATTTCCGTTGCCAAGTCAACTTCTGTCCACCGCGAGACTTGCGCTACCCTACACCTGGCAGACTAAACAACGCCCTCCTAGGTAAGCGGTGACCAGGCATACGTAGCACGTGCCCGAGCCAACGCAACTTATTCAGTGCTATCTGTTGTTCTAGGGAGCTAGCATGATTATCATTACCTAGTACTCGCCTACGCACATCATCGTTGCGGACACGCTGGTGCCATTCGACTCCAGCAATGATTCGCAGACAACGATGATCAAAGACTTGAAGGCGCCTCAGATCTTCAGACCGAAGGGGCCAAGTCTCACTACCATACAGCAGAAAGGCCCTCACTGTGGCCTTGTATACCCGGCCTTTAAGACGAAGGGAAACTCCCTTCTGTCCCCAAAGATGCCGCAGGTTTAAGAAGGTATTTCTGGCTTTTGCAATACGTGAGCTCACGTCAGGGTTGATTGGGCCGCCTCAACGTTGTCGAAAAGCAAGAGGATATCGTCCGCACAATCTAGATCAACTAACCTTTCACCAGGCAGCACTTCAACGCCTACATCGTGAGATTCCGCAAGGGAACACTCCATGATAGAATCCACGACGAAATTGAACAACAATGGGGAAATCGGACAACCCTGACGAACGCCACTTGTAGTCGAAAAGCTATCCGATAGGACACCGTTAACCCTGACGCGGCCTGTATTGTTCGAGTATAGAGCACGAAGGATGTTCACATATTTCGTGGGAACACCTTTTCGCGCAAGTAATTCGAACAGAATCGATCGATCGACTGAATCGAACGCACTCTTGAAATCGAGGAACACAGCTATTGTCGGTCTGTGGTATGCGTGGCGCTGCTCTAGCACCTGCCGCAAAGTAAATATATGGTCTATACAGTCACGTCCTGGGCGTAAACCGGCCTGCTCTTCCCTAATCCGAGATTCCTCTTCTGCAGTGAGGCGACGAACGATAATCGAGGCCAGTACTTTTGTCACAACTGGCGTTAGGCTAATGCCCCTGTGGTTCGCACAGTCTGTGCGACTGCCATTTTTGTATATTGCCACTATAATCGATTCACTCCAATTAGCCGGCACACTTCGTTCCAGATACGTTCGAATAGGGAGGTCAGTGCTTTGCAGGGTACCTCACCTCCATCCTTAAATAGTGCAGGTGGGAGGGAATCCGGGCCAGCGGCACGAAAACGATTGAGGGCTGTGATCGCGTTTCGGACCTCGGCCTCCGACGGAGGCTCTAAACTAACCGTCCATAGCTCGTCCTGCATCACCTGAGTAGGAAGAGGTCCGGGAGCAGGGGGGCCAGCTGAACTGATGTTCAAAGTGCTCAGCCCAACGAACCATACGGCGCTCCTTATTGTGTATCAGCGCACCCGCGCTGTCCCTGATTGTCTCACAGACGCCTGGTTTTCTGGGACCAGTGGTGCGGATTAGCTGGAAGAGCTTGCGCTAATTGCCTACTGCTCATGCCTCCTCCATTTCTTGAGCCCGACTGGTCCACCAGGCTTCCTTGTCAACATGTAGGCTCCGCTTTAGTTCACGCCTAATAGCCCGTTTGGTCATATTGTGTTCAGAACCAGCCGGTAGGTGTCTTCTAACTTCCAACTGGTTCACCGACCTCTCGAATATCCAGTGACTGGTGCGGTGACGACTGATAGTGCCACAAACAGATGCTCCTGCGTCGTGCATAGTGGCCGAGATCCTATTCCACTGAAGTTCAGTGTCATTAGGACAAGACATCGAGAGTTCGCTAGCAGTGCTTCTTGATAGGCTTGCCTGACCGAGGACTGGGACAATTTCTTTGTTGCCAATCGGGGGAGACGCTTTGTGCGCCTTCCGGTAAAGTTCATGGAGAAACGACAGCGCACCAAGGCATGATCAGAGTCGACACAGGTACTCCAGTACGAGCGACAATCCAGAATGGAACCGCGCCACCTGTAACTTGTGACTATGTGGTCAATTTGGGTCCATCGCTGGCCAGCTACAGGTGGACGCCAAGTGGCACTTCGGCGCCCACTGTGTCTAAAAGCAGTGCTAGTAAGAAACAACTGGTGCTCCGCACACAGTTGCAGCAGACGCTCGCCGTTGTCAGTCCGTTCGGAGTTAAGTCCATACTTACCACCCAGCTGAGCTTCTGAAGAGCTCAGACGCCCTACTTGTGCGTCCATATCCCCTGCAAGTACTATAATATCTGAACTAGTAGCACTGCGTAGCAGCGTGTTCAGTTTGTTATAGACTGTGTCCTTGACAGCAATAGAACTGCAGTCGGTGGGAGCATAAACGGAAATCACAAACAAACAGCGTTTTGTTTTACTTAGCGAATTCACCTTAGCTGATGTCGTCA